TGATTCAAGGTATGCCTATAAAAGATTTGATTTTTTTTTCTGATATATTAGAGATGTTTGAAGCATTAAAGGCTCTAATTTACTCATATTAAAAAGAAAAAATTATAGCATAATAATTAATCAAATTAATTTTAACTTTATTTAATATCTTATATTTCAATAAGATATTCTTATAAATTTTATTGAAACTTCCTTGATGTGAGACTTTAGAGGGATGATATTAACCACCATAAGTGAGTATTGGAAAAATTTTCAGATTGTGAAAATATGCAAAGATTCTGTTCTAAAATACAAGATCAATCTTTATTCCTACATAATCGAAGAATGGAAGACCTTGAGCATTTGGTAATCTAGCCATAATTGTATCCATAGATTTCGAATCTTCTAAAGTTGCAGAATTTTTACGATTATTGATGACTTGAATTTAAAATGACTTAATATTCAAGATATACAAGGAAACTATCTCTTATACCTTCCAGCCATGTTTGAAGGCTTTCGAATCAAATATCCTGGTAAATTTTTAAGCTTCGCTTCAGTCAAACCTGTTCATCCAATCTCATGAGGTTTCAGAAAAAGCACAACAATCAAGACTATTGTTTTGATTTAAAAATTAAGATAATAATGAAGTCATAAAATCAAATAGTAGGCTTATAAAAAAATAATATTGGTTATTATTATTTTACTAATTGATGAAAATTTAATAATAGAAAATTTTATATTCAATAGTTGATATTTTATAAATAACAGGAAACTTCTTTGAACGATAATGCAAAAATTGCTCTTTTGAATTCAGTTAGATTATTTATAGAGGAGCTGAACCATTTAATTTTTAATCATTTATTAGATTCAAACTCAATTATAAAAACTAACAATTAAAAGGGAATATAAAAAAATTTAACATTTTATATATTAATCTCAGATTAATCTAAAAAATAAATAAAAAGATTTTAGATATTTAATGACCATATAAGCACTATTTAAAAAATACTACTTTCAAAATAATTTTTTTGCTTGAGAAAATATCTTTTTTGTGATTTAAGTTATCTCTAAACTTGTTTAAAGACTTATAATTATAATACTAGCAAAAGAAAAATTTAGATAAAAATAATATAATGCTTTTAGACAGTTAGATAATATAATAATTATCTCATTGTTCTTAGAATCTCCTTATTTATATTTCATATGATGCCTAATCCCAAGTAATCAAATATTCTCCATTATCACTCAATTATCCAAATATATTATTTTTTCCAAATTGAATAGATTACTCAACTTTAAATTCAGCATTTTCTGTAAATCTTATTAAATGTACATATTTATCATGCTTATTAACAACTAATTATTTTTATTTATTAAATTATTATGGAAATAGCCAACAACCTTCATTTCCTTGATTTAGAGTAATATCTTTTGATTTAGTGAACTATCTATTTACATTATTCATCTCATAAACATACATTAAATTGCCATTTTCAGGTTGAAATGTAAATATATTATTGTTGATAAAGCATAATCGATATCCATAACAATCAACTTGTATTTTTTATTTTACAATCCAATTTTTATTAGGTTCTAACTGCTCTATTACTAATATAAATCCATCATTTCCACAAGATATAACTTGATTTTGTTGTTCATTTAAACTTAATTGATAAACTTGACTATAATGATCTGAAATAGTTTATTAACAGATCCATTCTTTTTTCGTTTTAACCCAAAATTTAATAGTCTTATCATCACTACTGGATATAAAAAGATCTTCATTATTGTTTAAAATTATGCATCTAATATATTGACTATGACCTTTAATAGTTTATGAACAAATCCATGAATTATTATTATATTACCAAATCAAAATAGATCCACAACCTCCGGAAATCAATTAATTTGATTATTTCATAAAATTTAGAGTAGATACTTCACTTTAATGTTCATTTAAAACTTGATTTAATTTCAACATTCCTTATTGGAATTCATAAATTTTAATTAGTTTATTACAACCAGTGGCTACAATTGAACAATCTTTATTAATAGCAACTGCAGCACAATGTTCTTATTATTTAATAGAATTAGCTTCAATTATTTAATAAGTAAATGATTTAAGATGGAATTATGATGATGATTTCATTTCATTTTATTATTATTTTCCTTTAATATCTGATGGCAATATTTCTTTCATTTCTTTTATTAAGTTTTCATTAAAAGCCTTAATTTCTGTCTCCCACAAATCCTATACCTTAGATAATTTCTAAAAACAAGAATCCTTCTAAGCTTTCCATTCATTTAACTTTTTTTCTTATACAATTTATACTAATTACTCTAAGTCAGTATCTGACAAATCTGTAGGATTGAAATTGTCGTTCATGATTTTAAAATATTATTCATCCTACATCTCTATTGTTTCAAATATTTATTGGATTGATTCCTATAATTGTTGCCAAGTATTCTTCAGCATGCTTTCAGTTTGAGAGAGAATCATTAAAAAATTCTTTCTTTTTTAGGTGAGTTCAGAAGTTTGATCAATCTTAAATTCTCTTAATTACTTTATAAACATATCTTGAAATCTATGAGTCGGAATTGTATATTTAATATCAACTCCATGTTCATATTGGCAATCAATGCAAAGTTTCCTTTAGCATTAACATTAGTGAGGAGCAATACATATGGAAATTATTGGAAATTGAATATGGCGAGTGCAATTCATTTAATTTTTTTATTATTGATTTTCCATTACTTTGCTTTAATTTGTATATTAGAAATCAAAAAAGTACCTTAAAGTTGAGTACGGAATTTGATCAGATTTAGAGTTTATTGTAATTGGGATAACATTGGAGATTGAGAAATCAAATAAGTTTATTCATAGCTTCATTCATTAAGAATATAGAAAAAATCATTATTATGCAAAAAAACTTTAATTATTTATAATATATTATTTTGATTTTTATATATATGTTAATAATAATATTTCTATTTTGTTATTGATAATTTTCTTCAAATGAACTATCATATTTCCAATTTTGATTGGGGATCTAAGACAAATTTATTATTCAATGTTCTAACATTATCATTTTTTCTTGAGTTAACCATTTATATAAATCAACTATTTATTTCTTTCTTTTAGATCTTCTTTTCAAGCCTTGATTATTGAATTTCAATCATTTGTTTCATTCGGGTTCAAAGATCATTTTTCTCACAAATTAATATTTCAAGCATAATTATTTTAAAAAATACTCATAATTATATTTTATAACCACTTAAATGAGTTGAAGAACAAGTATAATATCAAAGAACGATTATTTGTAAAAAAATAATGTTTTAAGTTTGTATAGATGTTTAGTAAAAGGATATGGATGTTATTTAATTTAAAAAAGAATTAATAAACTATGTAATATTACTTAAGAAGATGAGTCATTAGAATAATTAATATGATTAGATAATTTAGATGTGTTTAAATATCATTTTTTTTTATTGAAACTATTTATTATTTTGATTTATGTTTTTCCCCAAAAATAATATCAATTTATTTTTATAACTGAATATATTAGTTTAAATCGTTATCTATCATTATCTCCAATAATTATATTCTTATTTTTTGATAAACGATAAATTAATTAGATATTAATTGATCTAATATATCTAATTTGACTACAGAGATTATGATCATATTCAGTATTAATTAATTTGATACATTATTGATTTTTTTAATATTTCTAAAATTGTGATTTGTTAGATATCGTTGAAACTTCAGAAAAATTGGTCATTAAAAAGATTTTAAGAATTGTTTATAATTTTAGTTAAATAAAATTAAATGTTTTAAAATAAAACTCACTCTTTCAATTATTCTTACTTTATTTGATATCGTCATTGATATGTACCAATCCAAAAATTTCTCATTAGCTTTAAAGAACCAATTAAACTATTTTTTTTTAAGTAATCAGCATCAACTTCAGAATCTTCTAATTCCATTCTTTCATCTATATATTATTCAAACTATTTATAATATTCCTATAAATAATCATAGTGTATCGCAAGATATTCAAATTTCTATCTTTATCCATTTCCACATGTTTTAAATTAAACCCAGCAATATTTATATCTTTCAAAATATCTATTATGGGGAAAATATAAAATTCTTTTCCTCTTTCTTTCTTCACTTCCTATTCTTAATATCAGCTTATTGTCAACACATAATTTAAAAATAAACACAACCTGAAATAAAGTTATTTGTCATTCCTAATTTTATTTATA